GCGCTCCCGGCTTCCGATCGCCGGGTACGCTCGGGGTACGCTGGGTACGCGGCTGCGCGGGACCCGCGGCGGTGGCGGCCCTTCGCCGCCAAGCGGGAAATAGAGGGGAGCAAATAGGATCCAGGATCTTCCTTTCCTCCCCAACGTCGAGCGGACCCCTGGCATCTTTCCTTCCCGGGCACTCTCGGCCGCGTCCGGGCAAACGCAGGGAACGGGCCCGGAGAGCGCGCCGCCGGCCGAGCGTCGGAGCCTGGTGGCAGAGGCTGGACGTACCCACCGGGGCCCCAGAGAGGACTGCTGCCAGCCAGCCCTGCGGTTGCCATTGCTGCCAAGGAGACAGTGCGAGAAGGACTTTGACCAAGGCCACTGTTGTCCTCAACGAAGAAGAAGAGTATTTATCTGGAATGTGCCCCACCGGAATCTGTCGCACGAATTTGGTAGACTTGGGCCATGCGTTGGAAAATACTGCTGTATTGTTGAGAAATGCAAGGAAAATTAAGAAGGGGTTGGCATTTTGAGAGAGTGGAGGACATAAGAGGAAGGCTGGTGGACAAATCCACTCCCAGAAGTGCGATAGGATTTGTATACTCAAAAAACTCACTAGCCCCGAGCCAGGCCCCCACACAGTGGCCTTTAGGACAGGCTAGAACTGCCCCTGTGGGTTTCCAAGTGGAACTCTCTTCAGGTGTAGAAAGCGTCCATCCTCCTTGAACAGAGCCTTCTCTGGTCTCAAACTGCTGGCTTTGTGGTTAGCAGCCTAACGCGTAGCCACTATGCCACCAGGGCTCCTGGAATTTGTCTTGGTTATTAGAATTTATTCTTTGGGGGTAGACATGATCTAAACATATATTTTTAAAGAGCACCAAATAATGATTAAATTCATCGTTACTAAGTTGATTCTAACTCATTGTATTGGTCTGGGTACATTAGAGAAACAAATCCACAGAAACTCATCCATAAGAGAGAATTTCATATAAAGGGTAAGTGCACATCAAGAAAACATCCCAACCTAGTGCTGCCCAAGCCCACATGTCCAACATTAACCCATATGTCCGACACCAATCCACAAAGTCCTCCTCCATCTCACAAAACACATACAATGACACCGACTGCAGGAGGAAAGCCGAATGAGTGAGCGTGTAAGCATCTCAGCGCTGGCAGGGGTCTCCACACTGCTGCTCCAGCACCCAGGGCTGCATAGGGGTAGGTCCATGCGGCTTTTCTTTGGGGATGTCTTGCAGGAAGTGAGCCTTGCCAGCTAAAGCAGGGAATTGGCTAAGGCAGCTGCACCCTGGTCCAACCATCAGAAAGCAAGAGACCTGAGAACTAGAAAGATGAGGCTCACTGAGCCATTTATCCCTCCGCCCTTCAATTAATCCTACATTTGTTTATCAGACAGGTTGGCACAATAAACTTTATCACTCATTATACAAAATCCAAAACCAAACCCTTTAGGGTCGCTGTGAGTAGACACGAACTGGGTGGGAGTGAGGGAGTTTGGGTACAAAGTAC